CCCATAGCAATCATTTCCAGTCTTTACCCCCGTAAGCAATCTTCTAGAAATTGTTCAACTCTTTCAGTCCAGCTCTGTGTAAATTGCTGTTTGTCATATAACACGTTCAGAATTGTGTGTGCAGTGGCAACTCATGGTTTAGCCATAGCTGATGCCTTGATTTTATATTGGATTCAGACTGGAAACATTTCAATTCAATTCAATTTTATTTATATAGCGCCAAATGGCAACAAAAGTCGCCTCAAGGCGCTTTATATTGTGCAGTAAACATGCAGTCAGATGAACTGATGAAGGTTTCTCCTATTTCCAGGTGCAATGAGGGAAACAACCAGTCTGCGCCTTGGAATCCTGCAGAGTCGTCCTACTGCAACAGGCGAAGGATCCTTCCACAAGAGATGCAAAACGACCTGGAATGCCCGTCATCCCAGGATCTCCCTCCTCCACCGCCCCCTTCTCCCCTCCCTCATCCCCACTCTCTCCCTCTGCTGGAGAAACCCCTGCCTATAGTAACTACCTCTAATGGTCGCTCTGACCTGTTAGGAAGGGGTTTGGACCAAGGACTGGGGCCAGGGCAGGGCAGTTCTGGGCAGTGCCGTGCTTTGGGAGTGGGCGACTGCGGTCCAGGTCTGGGACGGAACCCGCTGGTTCAAGAACTGTCAGAACTGGAGAGTCAAATCCTTGTAATCAAGCAGCAGCTGCAGTCTGCCATGAGGAGGAAGAGAGAGCTTGAACAGTACCAATCAGAAAACCAGCAAGCAAACCAGACTGCACCCAGTCAGCCCACTTCACACCAGTCTAACCAGTTTGTTCAGTATACCCAGACCCACCAGCAGATTAAACAACACAAAAACACATGTCCGGAGCTGTGAAGCCAGTCCCAATTTGTCCAGGAAAGAGAACCCTGGTTAACACACTGGACTAGTTTTCAAAACCTCAGCTGGGTCCCGGAACAAATCCTTGCCTGAGTTCTGAAGTTAGAAGCCTCACCGATTTCCAATAGCAGGATCCTCCTTATGGCTCTGGAGCTCCCCTCAACACTGCACTGAAATGTTCGGCAGTGATCAGATCCTGCTCTGCAATTCCAAGTAGGACATTTTCTCACTCCTGGAACATGAGATTGAATTAGATGAGAGGTGCTGGATAAGGGCGAACCAGGGATCTTGAACCAAATCTGTCCTGTTGTATCACTGCACTGAAGAGCTTTGTAATTCCTTGCCCCTCTCAACTTCCCTTATATTACAATTCTTTAACTCCTTTTCATGCCTATCTGGTTCTTTTACCTTTTTCCTGTTTATTTCTTCCTTTTGTCCCTGCCATGCCTCCCCCCCTAAAACCTCATTTTTCCAAGGGTACAGATTTGCTTGCTATGACATTAAGCCTGATCACAGATATGAGGACTCTTTGGTATTTAAGCTTAATAGACTAATTCACCTGAGTCTTTTAAGACTCACTGAGCATTTCAAATGACCTGAGGTTGAACCCAGTCATCTCAGTCTTCATGTTTGTGTGTCTTGCTGAAACCTTGTATCTTTCAGCTATTACCATTGATGTTTCTTGCTTTTGGTAGCATGTTTGTATTGATTAGGGGTATTTTTTCTCTAATAAGCTTTTGAAAGGGTCGGTCGGGTGGTTAGATGTAATCATTTTTTTAAAAAGATAAAGCTTTCGCAAGACACATTTACATACGTAATGAACACCAGGTTGACATTTTATGGTGGATTATAATAAGCGTACACACAATCTTATTTATGGGTCACTGTATAATGTCCTGCACTTCACTGATGCACACTGAATAAACAAAGTCACCTTAACTTGTCAGAGTTTGAGTTAGGGTATAGACGTATTTCACAGTGAGATCACAACAATGGCAAGCTGGCAACATAAAACCTAAAACAGGATTAAATTGAACAGTCTCCAGCTTTTTCCGCGGTCAGGGACCCAAAACAAAACCTTTCTGTCCAGGCTCTTGAGGTCATACTGGTGCTCTTGTAACATTGTGACACAAAATACATACTTTTCAGTTCCTCATTTAAGCCAGCTGTTAAATAGTAACTGTATGAACACAGACCACTAGTTTAACTCTGACACGTTATTAAATGTGATTTGCATTCAAAAATGAACACAACACAACAGTTCCCTCTCTGGGGCCCTGTTTCCTTGCATCATTTGGGTTTGGACATGTTCTGTTATTAAATATCTTCTTTGCACTTATCTTAGTTGCTGCATTTCTTTTTTCCCCCAGTGTCTTAAAAATGTTCAATTTTACAGGTCTGTAAATGATTTCCTGTACAAATTAGAAAGCAGAGTGTGGCATGCTAAGACTCTGAGGCTTGCTCCTACCTCAACCTTGGTTTTAAGTTATTATGCCTCCAAAACCTTGACGCTGCTCGTTGCAAAACAACTTATTTCAAACAGGTTTTTTAGAATCCTTAATCTCATTTATATCTGGCAGCAAAGTGGATTTACTGCCAAGTGACTCAAAGGAAGACCAAAAGCTCAATGATTTTAAGAGGATTTAAGGTATTTCCTTGCACTTACGAGTCCCCAGCTTCAGTAAGAGAGACAAGTGTGAATTGACACTTGAGAACAATGGCTGACAGCCACTGCAAACCAGACTTTTTTTTTTTATTTATAAAAGCTTCACCATTTAGATTCACCTGTAGTTACTTATTCCAGCTCATTTTAATAGATTATTTTATAAAAACGTACAGCAGCTATATATTTAAAAAACTCAAACCACTCAGAGGTTTGTTCCCTACCTTGAAAACTACATTTGGTTGTTGCTATTCTTCACTCATATTGCTAGGGGACAGCAATTTGGACAGGAAGGCATACTCAGAACAGCTAACGATGACATTTTACGAAGACACGGCATGGTAAAATACCGCCGCACACACAAACACAAACAGCTCCTATCTATTTAGCCAGTGTGTCTGCAGGGTAAGCGCAGGCTGTCACAGCTGAAATGAATACCTGACAGAGCAAAAGAGCAAGTGCACAGACTGAGCCGTCAGCTTTCTTTGTGTCTCTGTGCGTGTACGCCTTGCTTAGCTATGACATAAACATCAGTGAAGTCGACGCGGCTGTAACAGGATGAATCACTAGAGAAGCTAAATAACCTGGTTTTAGCACAACTATGCTCATTTTAATCACTTTTCTAGGTAGCACAGGTAGCAGCTGGACAGGGGTGTGGTGTGAGGGAAAAGAAGGGCTGCCTGTCACAAGTTATAACATGAAAGAAGAATAAAGCAATATTCATGGTGTTTTTTTGAGTGCCTGTGTAAACACAGGTTCACTTAAACATCCCGTTTTTCTTCTGGCTTCACCCCCAAAGCAACAATATGAAGGATCAGACTCAAATTTCAGTCATCGGCATTCGTTTTACTTAACTTTTCATTCAAAAACAACCCTTAAGGTGTACTTGTACACGTTCTTTATTAAACTCGAAATTTAGGGTCATGGTCTCAGGGTTGATTGCTTGATTCAAACACTGACTGCCAGATTAATTAATGTTTACATTTACTCAGCATACACTCACAGTCAACTCTAGGCTGACTGACACCATGCCTATGAAGTCATTGGTGTAGCTGCACTCTGTTAAAACAGATGGTCTAAAACAAATCATTGCAACAGCTCAGAGTTCAGTTTCCAGGGATGCATATCCTCTAAAAGCAGTAATCTTACAACTCTGTTTTAGAATAACTGACTGCTTTTATGTTTAACATGTTAAGCTTTGAGTGAACATGTGAATATTAGCATATTTCAATATGTCTGGAAATATGTGGCTTTTTCTCATCAGAATCTTATCAACCTATCAATCAATCAATCTTAGTCGGTCTGTCTATGTCTATGAGCACAACTCCTCTCCAGTAGACTATTTGACTCACAGGGTTGCCAACAGGTTATATTTTGGTTACAGGCCTGTGTGATTTTCTACATTTCAAGTCTATGATTTTAAGTTGTTAATGTGAATTTCTGTGCATGTAGAAACCAAAAGATTTGCAATTTACATCAATTTATCACAGTTTATTAACTGTATTAACACAGACAGCTTCGATAGTAGACCGACTGTCTTATTGTCGTTTTATTGCCATCCTAACATACCAAAGTCACCTTGAAGATGGCAAATGACTGCAAGTGGCTGCAGATCTAGTGCTTAACTAGAAAGCAACCATTTCAAAGGCAATGAGATTGCAAGTCTGTTGCATATGGTTGCAATATTTTGGTTGAACTGAAGGTTTGTTCAGTGAAATTGTCCTGTAACTCAAACATCTTGAATAACAAACCTGTTTTGGTTTTCTTCAACCTAGGAATGCAATATGTCCTTGGGCTGTTCCTGTAATAATCCAGTGACATTTAGTGATTAAGGACCAACTGCATTACACTTCCATCTTGCAAATAAAAATCCATCTATTTACTATTCAAATGAAATCAAGAGTTAACACTGGCTCAACTTTTAACATTCAGGAGTATGTAACACACTCATAGAAATGATGATGCACAGTGTTTAGGTATTGGAGAATTAATTAATCTAATGGGTACCCATCCAGTTTCATACATTATATCACGTTACATCACAGCGAATGGTCCAACAGTCTGTGATCGCTCAGATCAACATTTATCCATTGGCCTATAATCAGAAACTTGTTGACTGGAAGGATAATGTGACTGCATTTTTAGCATGCAGATGACACAGCAAAGGAGGTAGGATTTGTATGCAGCTGAAGTGACACTGCAAGGCTCAAATCAGGGGAAAAATGGTAAGTAATGAAAACAAATCTCTGGATATTCAGACAAACACAAGGACAGACACGTTTCACACTTCTTGCATCAAGGTAACTTACAAGTACTGACTGTCAAGATGGATTGTCCTTGTCGTTGGTCACATATTTTCTAAGTAAATGAAAAGTTACCATTCTCATTGAAGCGTTTGGGTACATAAAAAGAAACACAAGAGGACACACTGTTGCTACTGACTATTTAATTTTTTTGGACAAACGAAGAAAGAAAATATATGTAGCATTTCAGCTGAAATGCCTTTTTTTGTTCTCAAAGTAAAAGACAATTGTAATCACAATGATAATGAGTAATATCTATAAAACATCTTGACTTCTCTCTTCATGCTGGGCATATCTTCCAATAGGAAATGGAATCACAACATTGCATCACAATCCACTGGTGGGTTGGGGAGAGGGAGGGGTACCTCGAGGAGGAAAAGTGAAGCAGGAGTCATTAGCCTGGTTTTCAGTGAGGAGGACTAACCAGGCCTCAAGTAAATTACTCAGTTTCACTTGAAAAGAATCTCTTATATTTTTCGCCATGTACTTATTAGGGATGTCTTCCATTGGAATTTCAGTAAATATAATTGGAAAACCATACCAGCATAGTCTATACACGGATCTGGCATGGGCTAGCTCCTCTGGATCTCTCCATAGAGAGCTTCCTGTTAACATCAAAGTAAATCTGCAAATTGGGGTGAAGCACACTGATACCATGCATTTAAGCCAATCAGATTTTTGTATATTTAGCCTGATGACATGTCACTACAGGTGCAAAAACACATTTTCTGAGCATTTCAGTGACTCATCCTTGCCATTTCCTCCTAAGGGGAGAGGAGTTGTTCCCCAAACAACTGATACCAAAACATATCCAGGTTTACAGCAGGCAAACAGGTCCAAATGGATCATAATAGTCATACATATTAACAAAAATCCATAAAAAATATGACCTGACATGGTCAGTTAATGTACAGAGATAATAAAAAGAAGGATTCTGTCTTTTTTCTGTACAAATGACAAACACCACAGAACAACAACATCAATATTTTTTTTTCCATAGCAGATTTTTCTAACCGAGTGGGGTACATGTGGTGATTGACAAGGCATTTCACCCGGCAGGATGTGATGTAAAACAGAGTGAGCCAGCTGACAGGAAGTGTGCAGGTTTTAACATCGTTAGGATAGGCTACGGCACTCGCTCATACAAAATGTACAAAACACCGTCCTCTAACTACAAACAGCACACCTTGGAGGAAAAAAATGTCCCATGTTTCAATGATCTCAAATAACCTGGAAAAACAATCTGTGCTTATGTTGCGATTTGTGATATTGTTGCCTGATCTGTGTGCCTTGGGAGGTTGAACTGAGCATAGCCCAACTAAATGAAAACCACTGCAAACATGGTGTATTTTGTCCCCCAGGTGATTTAAACAGATATATCAGGAGTGGTTTTTGTAAGCATTCGGAGCCACGTGACATGCGTCCTCGTCATTGTGTCTGGAAGTGCTGTGGAGACGCAAACGTGACCCGGTGCTGCCCCCTTAGTCATGTGACCTCTGTCATCGATGCCGAGTGGTTCTGAAAATGGATGTTGGAGGGAGTATGGAGGGGAAAAAAGGGACAGGGGTAGAGAAAGACAAAGAAAGAAATGAAGTGGATGGAAACAGAAAGCGTGGAAATGAAAAGGAAGAGGAAATCACGTGTCAGCTGGTGCCAAGAGTGCTCTGTGTTAAGTTTCTGTGCATTTGGTTAGGAGGAAAGGGGTGAAGTGCAAACGTCAAGCCTGCCACGTGTCATTGCTTAGTGAACAAAGAAAGAAAGAAAGAAAGAAAGGATATAGAAAGAAAGAAGGAGAGTACATTTTTAACCAAATAACTTATTGATAACAGAAAATTATCTTTGGATTTATGCACCACCCTCACTTGGACCTTCCAAAAAGGGCATGAAAAAGTAGAAAAAAAGTACATGGCAATAAATTACAGTGACACCAAGTTCCAGAATTACAGAATTCCTTATCTGAGGGGAGGAATTTGCTTTAAGCTGCAGGCCTTGAGGGAATTCTGCCAATTAATGAAGAAAGATAATGTGCATCATAGAGATTAAAGTTTATGGGATTCCAGGTTAAGTGTTTTTAGCTACCTGTGCGCTCAGGGTCTCCAGTGGGCTCTCCACACGGGGGAAAGTCATCAGAGGCAGACCGCGGTACTCCTCAGTCTTCTGTTTTGCCGCTGCACTGTGGACACCTTTGAAGTTATTCACCACACATATACCCTGTAAGGTATGAGGACAGTTTAACATTAATAGTGAGACAGGCAGAAAGACACAGCAAATCACACGAACATTAGAAACTCAAACACAAAAAGTCCGAAAAAGTTGTTTAAACTCTATAAAACGAGTGAAGAGACTTTGTAGTGTAGCTTGATGTTACAGCCGTGTTCACATCTTGGTGAGGCTGCACAGTGGTGCTTTGAGGTTAATGCTATCATCAGTAAAGTTGCTACGGTGATTTAAGGAGGTATAGCCGAGGTTGATCACTGATACGTTTTGCAAATAAATGGGCAAACCGAAATGTTGACTTGAAGATCAAGTGTCTACAATTCATCCAAAGGGTTATGAATATATGTAATAAATAGTATGATAATCCACAACAACAGCTGTTGAGATTTCACTAATTCACAAATTTCAAGGAAAGGGCAGCTCAGCTGATTTTGGTCATTGTATGAATTGATATGGCTCATTTGGAAAGGTACAGGTGAGGATAGGAGAATGACAGTCTCTATAGTAGGTTTCTGAAAATCTGTTATTCATCATTAACTGTTCCCCCCATACTAAACTCTACGCAGTGTGTGTGTGTGTTAGAGAGAGAGAGAGAAAGTAAAAGAGAGCGATCCCCTCTCCCAAATAACATTTGTTCCCAAAAATGCATGTGAATTTGAGGGAAAGGAAAACACGTCTCTCTATTTATGAATGTCATTATAATCCTTAAGGGCTGGACTGAACTACTGGATGAGCGCCCAAAAAATTAGTTTTGTTCAAGGGGATATTATGCGGTCAATTTTGATGCATCTTCATGTTACAGTCTTGCTTCATACAGACCAGTCGCAAGGAGCTTGGATGACCTCGGTCATTTTGTTTGGAGGCATGAGCTGTGATGTTGTTTTAAGGTACAGGTTCCTCTAGCCACCGATCTGACAATTAGTATTTGTTTTTTTAAATTTTAAAAGAAATCCAGGGCCACATCTGGTGGATTTTTTAAAAATAAAAGAGCTAATGGAGGTCTGAAGCCCAGTTTGAGTCTGCTGATCAAAGGGCATTCTGGAGCAGGCTGTCTCCCTTTTGGTTGTTATTTTCATTTTCAGGATTGCTGGTTTGATCTTACAGTGCCCTCCCCCATACAATGTCATGTACCTACAAACGTTGCAGAAAACTAACATCCTGTTCCCTTTCAGCTTTAAACGCCGCAGCAAGAGCCAGCTGTTATAGGGTTTTTTGCTACCTTAAAAAAATTCTCTGAAGGGCTTTTCTTTTCTTTTTTTTTTGGTGTGACGTGGCTACATTTTCCACATCAGAACTTTTACTGCAGTGATATAACGTTTATATGAGTATAAAAGAGCAATCAAACATTGCGTGAGTCCCTTAAAGCTGGATATCATTTCATCTAGCCAGCAGAAATGCTTCAGGGTGCTAATCTTTGTGGGCTAACAGGTGCAGAAAACAGATGCTGTTTCTTCATTTATATGTTTATAAATTACAGGTAATTGTATTTTTTCCCATTTTGTCCACTAGTCAGAATTTTTAATGGTAGAGACACCAGTAAGGTTGCAGTCTTTGTTAACTCCTCCACAGACTAGTTAATCAAAGAAGGCAGCCTGAGGGAGATCCCACCCCACCAGACACCAACCGTGCCCTCAGGCAGCAGCAAAGGAGAAAATGAAGCAGGAGGAAGCTCAAGGTTTTCTTGTTTGTGGCTGTTCATGGGCATTGAATTTCTAGAGCTCCCAGACCAAGTAAATGAGTGAATTATAGCTCCTAGGGCAGAATTTACAAATAACTATCCTGTTTGACAATTCTTTACATTTTTATCACAACAAGTTTAAATTGCATGTTGATGTGGCTGTTGTAAACACATTTCTATTAAACTGAACCACCTCCTGCTTTTTCATTTCCCATTGTGTGTCCTGTCATTCATGCAAAAACAGACGTGTGTGAACTGCCGCCTACTGTTTCAGATGAAGACAAAGTGAATCTGAAGATTGCCACTGAAACGCTGAATTGAAAAATCATTTAGAAACTTTCCTGGTCTCAGATTTTTGCAACAGAAAAATGCTGCTTTCTCCCCAGACTTGTGATTAAAAGAAACTTGAAACTGTGTTGGTGGTTCAGCACTCAATGCAATGTATTATTTATTTTATTTTCCTCCCAGTGGAAAGTAGTTTGTTGAGGTGGTTATGAAATGACGTTGGATTACTTTGCACCATCACCTGAGATGCACTGTTCATTAACGGTTATTTAATTGTGTTTTTTTGTCCCCTCACCGTCAACCGGTTGTGGCAGGACTTTTCTTCCTGTTAAAAGGAAGTTTTTCCTTCCCACTGCTGCCAAGTGCTCGTTCAAAGGGGGTTGTTTGATTGTTTCAGGTTTCTCTGTATTATTGTCAGGTCTTTACCTTACAATATAAATCGCCTCCAGGTGACTGCTGTTGGGATCTAGATAAATAAAACTGAATTGAACTGAATGTAACCATATGATCTTATGCTTTACATAATTTCATGTATCAGCATAAATCTCCATCCCAATCCAGTCACACTCTTGTACTTCGAAGCAGCAAAGTGATACGGTTTGCATCTCCACCCTTACAAAGTTATTTTCTATCTTCACATTGCCCATTATGCAGATAATTCAAGACCCTATTTTATCAATTCATCTTTGATAGCAGATGAATTGTAATATTACCTCTTACAGTGGTTGCGACCTATATGAGTCATGCATGCCTTTTAGGTGTCATTTCTACATGCTGTGAATTCGTTTGGAACCACTTTCAAATTTCAGGGGATTTAGCTTCTATTAGACTCAGCAAGTCAGCATGCGCCTTCCCTTGAATCAAGTGGACAGCTTTATATCTTATGTTACCAACATCATCCCGGAGCCAATTCTAAAACCAAGTTCTTAACAATGATCCCTCAATCTGCTGGCAGCGGACAAATCTCTTGAAAGACCAAAGGCATTTGCTGTTTGGTGAGTCCATTCAGATCTCCTCTCTGTGAGCACTGATAGCAGCAGGATTTAGACTATACCTGCTTTCAGCTTTCTCTTTATCAATTCATTTCCTGCAAGATAGCAGTCCATCAACTTGGCTCAGTTCTCATGTGAAACGAGTTTGATAAGCTTCATTGTAAATATAAGGCAAATACAGGGGAATATGGTCAACCTTCATTCATGGTATGCTGATAATAAACTGAAAATAATGTTCAATGACGTAATGACAGATTTCCTTTTCTTTAAGCACTTGAGTTAAAGGCAACTAGACTTACACTTCAAGGCCCTTAAGACTACCATGACCTGGATGGGTGAGAAACTGCACAGACAACCCCATTTCCTTTTATCTTTTCCTGAAGATCAATGGCACAATGTATATCACTTTTAACAGTTTAATCACTGAAATCTACTATCAATTATCAAAGAAACTGGTGCAGTGGATCCACCTCCTCATGGGCAGGGGCGGGGGATAGCTCAGTAGGTAGAGTGGTGGCCCCATGATCGGAAGATCAGGGGTTTGAATCCACTGAACGGCTACCCTGAGATACCCCTGAGCAAGGCTATAGTCCCTACACACTGCTCCCCGGTGCACCTGCTGAGTGGCTACCCACTGCTTCACTGGGTGAATGGGTCAAATGCAGCAAGAGTAATTTCCCCACGGGGATCAATAAAGTATACATTATTTTTATTATTATTATTATGCAGCAAGAAAAAGATGTGACCACACTGAACCTGACTGTTTTGCACCGCAGCAGGAATTATTTAAAGAATAACCAAGACCAAGCTTGACCTGCACATGTAAATCACACTATTCCAATGCCACTAACTTTCTTTGGTGCAATATTGAGTCAGACTCTTAATTTGTGACCTTTTTTTTTTTTTCACTTTTTGAGTCGTGACCAAATCGAGATTCTGGCATTTTCACTAATCTCTGCTGTCCTTGGTATTTAGTTCTAATTAGTTTAGCATACACTCTACTAAAACATTACATATATTAAACATTAGCACTTTAATACCATCACTGTAGACAGATGACAGCTGTAAAAGGACTGATTTTCCCTTCATATCAACCAATGTACAAATAACAAACCTCTAGCTTCTTCTTCTGATCTGAGTCTCTCCTCCATGTGTCTCCCGCATTGGCACTCAGGACTCAGCGGCAATTAGAAGTAATGAAGCCTCTGAGGTTATTAAATAAATCTTTTTGGATAGTGGGGGCAGGGGGTGGGGGTCCCCTTCACCTTCCTTTCTCCTGAGTGAGCTTTCCCATTCAGCACAAAACAACGTGATCAGTTTAAGTTGCAACTATTACCCTGCATTTAATCACAGCATAAAATATGATGAATAGTCTGAAAAAAGCACATTAACTTGCAGCAGAAGCCAATCAGTTTGACTAAATCTCGCAGGACACTGATGTTGATTTTACATTATGGACAGCAGCCCAGTGAAACTGCTGTCTTGCTTGGAAAGATGAGCCCACTTTGCACATCTTATCCTCGGCAACTGCTACGGCAGTTATTTTACGAAGGTAAATAACAGGATGCCTAACCTCTGGAGTACGGAATCTGAATTAATCACATCACTGGTTACCTCCACGATCTAAAAATTAATTAAAAGTAGTGTTTACCTCATTTTTCTTCTCTTTTTTTGTCCTTGCGCTTACAGATTTCAGGTTGAATCTTGGGTTGTTCACTTCCTTCTTCTTTTCATCTTCTCCAATACCCCACAATCAGCCAGTGTATTCTTAACTTGATCAATGTAGCTTAAATTACCTTTATCTAAACCTTTATTGAGCATAACATAAATCACACCTCATTCTTTTTTCACCTTTTTATATACTTGGTGCCCTCTCCAACACTTGTACTGTCACTAAAATGAATTTCATCAAAGATATACATAAAAATATTTGCTGTATATAAGAATTTTAAGGCATAAATTTTCACATGGTTGACTTTGAAATGAAAACAAACCCACGTTAAAGGCTCTGGGAAGCTGCAGCTTGAATTAATCATCCAATTACCAGTTTGGGTTTGTTCCAAAATGAAGCTCAAAATGAATATTATAATTTGAAAGTAGCTCATGACCAGAATCCACCTTCTCTTTTCTCTCTTCTTCTCCGACCCCTTCTCCACCACCTTCCCAAACCTAATGCAAGTTTTAGTAGTCCTCACCAGAAACAATGCAATAGCTGATCCCAGTATAAATCCAGCCACTACATCTGAACAGTGGTTTCGATACTCTGAAACTCTGTTGAGGCCGGTGAGGAAGGCGGAGCAGAGTGTACCCAAACAGAGCACTGGTTTGGCCAAGCGGCTGGACTTGGTCTTGATTGTACTGGTGATGTACATCTAGAAGGAGAAAGGTGGAAAGATTAGACTGTTCTTTGTCCCAAATGTCTTTAACGAAAACAAAACAAAACCAAAAAAAACAGGCTCCTGCTCTTCTGTTTAGGTGGATTAGGAACAGAGATCCCATGCAGAACAACTGGAGGTTTTCCCACTAAAATAAAGTCAAACATTTTACCTTTTCAAAATAGTGCAAAGCCCCCATGGTATAGCAAATCAGTCAGGGAAGGCTGTGAAAAAGTTACATCATAGTAGTGCAAGATTCTGCAAAACAGAGACATCTTTTTCCCCCCACAGAGAATAAAAGATTGAACCTAACAAGAGAACCCATTAATAAGCGAGAGGACTGTCAGCATTTAAAAACAAAAAAGGTCTACCTGCATATATTTTCACCTCTTGAACTTTCACCTACCTCTATTCCAATTAGGGCTGCACGATTTTGCATAAAATGAGAATCACGATTTTTTGGCTTAGAATTGAGATCACGATTCTCTCACGATTTTCTTTTCCAGTATAAATATTTATTGCACTTATTAACTGCACATCAACTTCATAACAGTTGAGACTGAACATAAAAACAATAAGTAAACATAAAAACAACAAATGTCTCACGTTTTGTTGTTGCCGCAAAATGTTGTACTGCTTGAAATTCCGTCTCCACCGTTGCTTGACACTGCGTGTATAGAGCAGGTAGTGCAACAATAGAAAGATAGTTGCGGGACGGCACTGTGTAGCGTTTGTCTAGGGTGTTGATCATTTTCCTAAATCCCTCGTTTTGCTCAGTGTTGATGGGAGCCATATCTTTGGTCAGGTGATAAGTGATAGCCTCCGTAATTTCTTTGTGCCTGCGGGAGTTCGACGTGTATAGGGAAGCGCTGTATAAGGTTCCCGTTATTGATGTTTGGGTGGTTGACCGGGACGGATTTTCTCCTGTCACTTTCTCGTCATCCCTGACGTGCTCTCCGTTGCTTTTTTCCTGCTAATTTTAGCATCACACGGCACAGCTTCTGTATCACGTGGTATAAGGCTCCGCCCTTGTCATTTGTTGAGCAGGAAGAGTGAGCGCTTGTTTTCATGCAGATTACGTCCCGGATCAAAATGCGGTACAATCGTCGTCTTTTTTTATTTTTTATTTTAATCGTTGTCATTTGGAAATGAGATCGCACATAAGTATGAATCGAGATCGCGATTTTCTAACGATTAATCGTGCAGCCCTAATTCCAATCAAGTAGAGAAGGTATCGAATTCATTTTCATCAACAACAATCTGTTCTTGTATTCCTCCTGCTCCTGTTGATAAAATTTGCACTTCCACTCTCTTTTTTCCAAAGATGAGGCCCTCACCCTGTCACTCAGATGTCAAACAGCTGCTCTTCAATTATCGCTTCAAAAAGTAATTTTCCATGCGACCTCCAGCCAATTTTCTAAAAACGCCTAAACTGTCGCTGTGCTTGTGTGAAATATTCCTCACCTCAATTTCAAATAGCATGAAGTCCCTCCTTGCCAATTCCTCCATCAAAGAACCGAAGGTGCTGTGTTTATAACAAATACTCCTTCTTACTCAGTAGTTTTTAACTCCACATACGGTACAGGTATGTGCAGTACAACTTTAAGCAGCCCGGCTCAAATTATATATTTTCTGTCTGGTTTTTTCCCCACAGACGAGTAAACCAATTACCTTCTATTCTAAACTAGAACATGACATTGCTTTTAATTAACTATGCTCAGGTTGAATCCCTGGAGAATTTTTTTAGTCTACACATTATTGGTTGGTTTCTAATTTAAAATGGGATAAACAAACACAAACGTGAGTGTTCACGTGCTACAAAGGGAGAATGAAAGGAAATGAAATATACACCTAAATGCAAATATCGTTACACACATTCATGCCTTAAAATATATCGCATGCTGTTTAATTAAACATATACTGTGTCATTACATTAGATATACGTTTTATAAAATGTTTTTTCAAGCCTTTTTTTGTCTCTGAAATAAAGGATAAGGTGCGGTCCTCTCACCGTCAGGTAAACGGCAGAGTAAACGCTCAGCGAAGCGTCCTTAGATGGGAACGACCGCCGAGCCTTCTCCACCACCACGTGGTTCCCGGTGCAGATGTTGCCGTTGACGATAAACTGGTGATTAAAGCGACACTCGGTGCCAGTGTAGTTGGGCTTGCAAACAGACAGGAAGTAGGGCGAGAGACCTCCAGTCACCACCTGGCCTGCATTGACGAAGATGTCTGTAGCAAACAGACCGAATGCAAACACACCTGCGGCACCACAGACACACAGACGGGAGAAGAGAGAAGAGCACGTGAAAAGCCACAAACACAGAGCAATGAAACAATCACAAATAAACACAGAAGGGTTTATATAAGTTATCACCCTCCAGTGTGGGTGTTTATCTAGCTCCCAGTTCCACCACATTAAATCGTGACTATTGTGTGTGTGTGCAGACATCACTGAAGATGTGGTCTGCATCACTCAGACAGAATGGGTGGTCTGTCTGAGTGATGCAGACCACCCAGTCTGAATCAAAACAAAGTGCAAGTTAACTAATGTTGAAATGGAAGGTGAGGAAAAATGGACAACAGCAAGCCAAATACAGACCATAAAAATAAGATAGCGTTTAATATAAATGATGGCGCTGACACTTTCAGCCCACCAACACTGACCAGTGTCTACGTCTGCATTCCTTTTGCTGTGAAATATGACTGCTGATTATCTAGCTTGCTTAGCCATGAAATTAATGTGCTTTGTGTTGTCATCCAGGCGGGTGGGGTGAGGGAGTCGCAGAGGGAGGTTTTGAGGGGCACGGGGACATGATTGTGTGAAGGGCAATGAGGGAACTGGGGGGAGGAGGGGGTTAGAGTGAGAGAAGAGAGGGGAGGGAACAAGTGAGCAGGAAATGCCTTGACAATTTCACAAATTTAACAGGTCTCAAAACATAAATCAGGTGAATTGCTGATTGCATTTCTAATGTGTTTTGTAAAGTTTTTTTCTTCAACTATGACAGGAAAGTCCAGCAGACTCTCTCTACTGGAACAGAGTCTGTCTGCCCAATTCTGGTAAAGCGTTGTTATAAAATAATCAAAATTCAAAGGTTTTATAGAGCTTTTATAGAAAATTGACACACGGACTTGTCCTTGTTTTTAAAATATATTTAATTTCCTTTCTTTTCCATGATAACAGCTGTTAGCTTACCATACAAAAACATGTAAGCAATATTTGAAATACATCAGTAAAAGCAAAGGCTTCTCCACAAACATTATTTTACATGAGAGGTTTCTCTATCCCAGTGTTTGCCTGGCCTTTGGTCACTGGTCTGCATTGGGCAGCGTTCTGGTGAAAAAATCTAATATCACATATCTTTGCCCATAACAGTTGAGCCTCACTGAGTTTAGCAGTAGAGCAGGGCAATATGACCAAAAATATTTATCACAATATACATTTAAAAATTCCACAACTCCACAACTTTATTAATGCAAAAAACCCATCAATGTATTTTCACTTAAACAAGCAGCTGTTTTTTATGTGCATTTAAAGTTATATAAAAATGTAACAGTGCAAATGCCTTGCTGACAGTTTAACCAAAAGGCATTTCCAGTGGAAATTGGCCGACATATCCTCAGCATAACCATGTATGATATCCACAAAACTTAAAAAGAGGTTATAGACACACAATACGGTAATATTATGTTGAAGCACAGTACGTATCACTCCGCGAGGCTCCTGCCTACCATAGCCGTAATGCTCCGACGATCCATCAAGCGGTGCGGCTTCGTAGCTTAGCAAAGTCTACTGAAACATGTGACAGATTTTTCAGCGCCGTGTACGACATAAAATCGTTTCAAGGTCAGTAAACACAACCAGAATTCATACATAAGGCACACGGGATTATAAGGGGCACTGTCGATTTTCAGAAAAATCAAAGGATTGATTTTAAGTGTGCCGTATTTTCCAACCAACACGGTAATAACGATGGCCCGCTAGCATGCTCTACCAAAAATAGTGCTTTGTTGTGTATCTGACGGACGAAAGCCAAACCAGTTCCACACCACTGAAGTTGCAGCATTTTTACAAACCAATTGTGGTTCATCCGTTTCATTTAACGATCCACTTTCACCCTTCTCATTCTGCGTCACCGCCATGTGCGTATGTAAACAAAGGCACTGCGCATGCGCGTTTTACCCATATTCTATCGCGATATTTCATTTTCCTATCGTTGCCCAAAATTACACCGGTATTACCGTGAACGGTTCATTGGTTCAAATTATATTTACTTGATACTTGAGCCAAAAACATTATCCAGCTTCACTGTAAAAAAAAGAAAAGTCATCATTCAGCTACCATGTCATTTTTTTAAAAAGGTTTTTCCATTTTATCTACAGCTGTTCAACACACTACATCACTGTGACTCGACAACATTACAGCAACAAAGTCAGTACCAGACACACATGTCACAGTTGTTTTGCTCCTTGATGGCCATGTTTGTTGAGAGCCCCTTTCTTTACTGAAGTACCGGATAAATCAGAACTGTTAAAAAAGTTTGTTTTTTCAAGGTGTAAGGTGTAAATCATCAGGGTTGCTAAATCCATGGCTGTCTGCATTGGAGCTCCCCTCACAGGTGACTGACAGCACCGACATTGAGTTTAGTTGTGAATGTACAGCATGCTGTGTCGTGGTTAAGGCTTGGCTGATGTTGCAGATGCAACTTTTATTGAGCTATGACATTAATAAACATTGCTCATATAGTTTTGTATTAAATTAGACAAAACAAGGCTGAAGTCACAAGCAGCGTCTTATTGTGATGGATCACAGAATTGCATGCTAATGCGCTTTTGAATACTAATCTGATCCCTTATTCTACACACAGTCTTTGTGGAGAACTGAATGAAATTATTTCAATCAGATCAGTGATCCATAATTTTCCGGTCTTTCAGTTCATCGCAGCTGCACTGAGGTGATGCGCCAGGCAAATACTGGTGGGACCTTACACATGCTGAAGCCCAAAGTACTTTTCATGTGTATTCAGAGTTTTCAGTCACTGTCTGGTACCATTAGCACAAGTGGCCTTAGGGCAGTTTAGAGTACATTGCAATACAAGGTTCTTACCTATGAAGCGTATGATGCGGCGGATGAGGGGGTTGAGGTAACAACAGTCTCCTGTCACTATTGTTTTCTCCTGGGCCAACAGAGCTTCCCTCGTTGATTTCATCATGTACATGGACACCTCTCCGATAAAAATCTACATACACAAACACACACACAGGCACAAAAAATAAAAGAGAATATGAATAGGTGAATATGCACACAGAAGAAGCAAAAAGGAGCGCACAGAACAAAGGCAGAGATTTCAAAGAGGGCAGACGTGACGTCTCCTCCTTAAATATTTAAACTTGTATTTGTCAACCTAAATAAATAAACTTTTATTCTGAAAAACCTGCTAAAATGTTACATCAAATATCTGCCCGACAGGGTTGGATGTTTTCTTCTCTGCACAGTCTATTTTCACTCCAAAAATATTAATATTGTAGAAAAATAAATAAAAAATACAAATGCTGTGGCAAACACAATTAAACCACAGACAGACACACAGAAACACAGTGTTGTGATCTCAGTCAGCAGCATGCAGCATCTACTCCTCACCTCTGGTGCTGTGCACATGCTGCCAGGTTAATAATCATGGAGAAGCCAGAAGGCAAGAGGAGGAATTTTTCCCTCCCAAAAAGATTTGAGAACCAAGGAAGTCTAGATTACGTTTACTTTTTAAAAAACTTTTTTTTAATAAAGTATATGAATATGAGCTATTAAAAACCCAGTGCAACTTTTTTTTAATAGAACACGCATCACAGGGTGCCATGTGCAAACATGAATCATTTTCCAAAACAAAAGACACAAAATACAGCAGAGCAGTGCACCATGCCTGTATGTGTTGTATTGGCTCAGCAGGGATAATATTAAATGAGAAAGGTTTGTTTACACAAGAATAAATATTTGAAAGCAATACAGATTGCCTGAAAGTTGTACTGCATAATATTCTGTTATACTGGGGCTTAAAATTTGTGTTTTAACCCATAAATAAATACCTTTACTCTATAAATAAATGCAGAAAACTGACGCATTAAAATGCAGGAAATTAAATGTCTGACTATCAAAAAAGTAGAACCCTCCAGAACCCGCACTTAACGTTTTAACAAAACTCACACCCAGCGAACACACAGAAGGAAATGGGGAAACATTAACTTTTGGCATCCTGTTATGGAGCAGAGAAACATTTTTATCCAGTCTGGCCTGTGTACATAAACCACTGTGCCTTAATGCAGCCTTTCTTCAGGTCCATTATAGTTTGGACATTTCATCAGGTCTAATGGAAAAACTGCTGCTGGACACACAAAATGGATCTCGTTGCCAGTCGCCTTGGGTGATAAAGACTGCTTCAAATAAATGTGTGTGTTTATCAGAGACAGTGTGTGCATAAACTTAGTGCATATGTGTGCACCCATGTGGTTTTGGCCTTTGATGTGTGTTTGTTTGGGGCCTTAGGACAGGTGAATTTTCCTCCATCCCTCATGAATGCTTTCGCATCATCATGTTCTTGTAAACGCAACTCCAGTCCATCTCTTTCTGTGTGGCAGTTAGCAGCGAGAGCAGCTCGTGTTTTGATGTCAGGAAATGCAAAGTAAAATTTTTTTTAAAAGGAATAAATGAGCACTGAAAGCACTCACATAAAAATCAGTATGAACCTTCTAAATCTATGCACTTGATTCAGTCCTGCCTGCAACTGCCAGCATGACTAAAGGTGGATTCATATTTTCAAATAACCATTTGTGTCACAGGATGGGAGGCATAGTGCATAGCGAAACAAGGATCAAATGCATCATGGCAGAAAAATCAATCTCCTGATGTCTAATGATCCAAAAATGTCTATCTTTGCAGACAGAGTGACCAAAACAAGCTTTTGCAAGCTTTAAAAACTGTAAAAGGAAGACAACTTGTAACAGTCAGACTAGCAGCAGTTGCAGTGAACCAAAATACATTTTGCATTAAATAAAAGGTAGCTGGCATAATTAATTATTAAGCCTAACTGGCTTAATTTGAATTTATTTTTAAAGAGCCTCCTTTTTTAAAGTACCAATAATACAAATTAAAAGTCAACCAATGTTTAAAATTTATGACTGAAGTTTGTATATATAGTCAACAAAAATAGAGCCAAAACCTATGCTACAATTGGAAAGTAGCAATAAAAGCAGCAATGCTTTTTAATAAGGTTCTTATTATAAGGATGCAATGTATTATTAATACATTGTTAAATTCAATTAGGCCTACATGTTTTTATACTATTTTATATTCTGTTATTGCAATGTTTTACAAAAAATTTCTAAATATATTTTTAATGCACTTTTTAATGCAATGCTAACTGATTAATTGGGGCATGCTCCCAATGAGACAATGGATGATGTCCTTGTGGATCTCCTCCCAGATCTGGACCGGGCTCCTGGACTGAGCTCCTGGAGAGTCTAAGGTGCAACGTGGCAGCACTGGGATGTTCTGAAACATAACGTCCCCGAGGTGTTCTGCTGGATTTAGGTCAGGCGAGCATGACGGCCAGTCAGTGGTATGGAACTGCCTTCATAATGTCGCCCCTGTTCTCATCTGTGGAAAGCACAGGGCATCGGTGGTTGACCTGGTATTCTATGGCAAATGCCAATTGGACTCCACAGTGCTGGGCAGTGAGCACAGGGCCAACTTAAGGATATTATGCAAGGATATTATGCCCTCAAGTCACCCTTGTGAAGTCTGTTTCTGATTGTTTGGCCAGAGATTTTCACACCAGTGGACTGCTGGATTTCATTTTGTAGCTGGCATCTTTATCCTGTTCCTCATTGCACAAGGGAGTAGATACCAGTCCTGCCCAGGAGTTAAGCACCTTCTAAGGCTCTAGGTTTCCTAGAGTAACTGCCCGTCTCCTGGAATCTCCTCTATGCTCCTGAGAGTGTTGAGAGACACAGTAAACCTTGTAATGGCTTGTATTGATGTGCCATCCTAGAGGAGTTGGACAACCTGTGCAACCTCTGTACTGTCTCTAGACAACCTCTACCACATGCTACCAGTAGTGACATTGACCCAAGTGTTCCTTTAATTTTTTGAGCAGTATGCATGTGAGTGTGTGTGTGCATATGAGAGAGTCAAACTGTAAAGGTGAAATGCCTCATGTCATTATGTAGCAGCAAAAGACAGAATGACCTGATGAAAGCTTAAAGTGACTAATCTGCTGGGTTACTACCACCACCTTCTCCAGACCCAGACAGAAAATTTATAACAAAAAAAAGGTGCAGACCAATTTCTTTGACCTGTCTGAGACTCAAAAAGAAAAAAAAAATGCAGTTTTAAAGGTAAAGTCAATGTGTTTGTCCCCAGTCAAAAAGAAATTACAGTCAGAACAAACACAGATAATTACTGGTATAGCAATTAAATTACAATCACATTACAGGATTTTATGTTTTATGGGTATTTTTCCTTTAGCAAGTAGGTCCCATGTGATGTCAATGGGTATATAAGCTTCAAAGGACATACATGCAGCTGATAATGTTCTTTCTTCTTAAAGTCCTTTGTTTTGACATTTAGCTTGAGAAGCTGCTGATAATTAAGCCAATCACTGATGTGTCATCTGCAATCGTAACTTCTAATCTGGATCTGTGTGATAATGTGAATATTGGGAGGATAGGAGGAAGATCAGGACATAGTCACAGGGGCAATCCTCACCACTTTGTGTTGGCTTGAGAGCAAGTTCACAATCCTCCTGCAGAGGTTAAGTCCAAGGCCTTTAAGTGTTGATTCTTTAGGGAATTATGGTAATGCATGCTGTGCTCAAATATATACGATTTATTGGCACATCACTGAGAGTGTTATGACGTGTTGTGGGTGAAGCATCATCAGTGAAGCTATACCTCTTGGCAAATGTATCAGGTCCAGATTGGGTGACAAAATGTCAGGAATAAAATACTTCATCTGCATCTCAAATTGATTTTCCTATGATAGATGGAGAACAGGGTGGCAGTCATTTAAGCATATTACCTTACTCTTTCTTGGAACACACACAATGACTGATGATTTAAAACAGGAGGGGACAACAGGCAGGGAGAGAAAGAAAAGACTCCTGTGAGCTGCATCCTCTGATGGGGATACTGCTGGGTCTGGCTGCTTTACAGGTGTTGACATGCTGGAAAAAACTTTGTGCGTCATCCTCTTTAATGATCAGAGTGCCAGCCTTAACGTTTTTGGAAGGCCTCTTAGGGAGCGTGGCGTTCTGACTCTCAAAATGGGCAGAAAACTTATGTACCTCATCGTGGAGCAAGACGGTGACATTGGCTGTGCACCTGGGCTTACCTACAAAGTGTAAAGTGCTCCTTCCACATGCTCTCAGAGTTGTTACTGCTGAGCCGTGTCTGTACCTTGTCTCTCTAATTCCGCTTGGCTGCCCTCATAGTGCAACATAGGTCATATCGGGATCTTTTGAATTCTCCTTGTTTTCAAAGGCAAATACAGCATTTTAGGGTAATGCAGCATTGCTGTTCGTTGACTGTTTCTAGGTAGGTTCTAGTTACATGTTCATCCTGAGCACCAAGTTTCCTGTACAGCTGAGTGTCTCTTTGTATATGTTGATGTTAATGTTAGAGGCACTGGTATCCAGAGATGGGCAGTAACGCGTAACACGTTACTGTAATCTGATTACTTTTTTCAAGTAACGAGTAAAGTAAGGGATTACTATCGCAAAAACTGTAATTAGATTACCGTTACTTTCCCGTAGGAACGCTGCGTTACTGCGTTACTAAAACCGTGATTTTTTGCGAGGACAGTGACGTAAGCGAGTGCGCCGTTAGTGACAACAGCTGTGTGCAGATCAACAACGGATCACATATCGAGTGCGGGAGAGAGTATGAGCGTGCAGCGTTTAAAGCGTGGAAGTACTGACCTTACTTTGAGTTTGATTCCATAAAAAGTGACAAAAACATTAGCGTCCACCGTGCGTGGGAAGAAAACTTCTTTTTACAGCGAAAAAAACCCCTAAACTTCCGAGCAAGCACCGAGTGCGCTACGACGTAATGGGAAACTCACAGAGAAACTCGCGGATTCTTCCATTGACTGCGGCACACCTGCACCAGGGTAAACCTCCGCCTACCGCAGTCCTGCTTTACAGGTGAAAATAGAGCAACAGGACCGCTAGTCTTTGACTTTATTTATTTT